TTCAGCAACAAGTTAGAGTGTTTGAGCTACTCAAGGTAGAGGCTGTTGATAAAAAGTTGAAGTGGAAAGAAAATTTAAGTCTACTATGAGGATAATCCTTTTTTTTTCATACGGATCAACAGACTCGCAATATCAGATTAAATTTATCTTGCTTCTTGAAACATGAAGGTTAGTCGTTGTTTGGTGTCTTATGGCACTCAATGACTTAATCAAATCATACTAAAGGTTTGCTATACAATTACATGTGGATTGCAATACTCTCTTAACCAAACTCTCAACGTTGTATTTTTGTCTTATTTGTTAACCTCAGGAGCTTCACGAGCTGACGGAGAACGATTTCAATTATCCGTATCACTTCAGAATATCCACTGACGCAACAATATCGATGACAATATACCATTAAATGTGAAGATACTGTGACGATGGTACGTGTCAAAACTAAGTTTTTGATAATTGTGGAATTGCAGGAACCTCAGACCTCTGATAGAAATTGGAATGGGTCAAGTTGATGCTATCAGATAAAAATACAAAATTTAGAAAACCTCTTTAAAATTTATTGAAGGTATCTTGATTCGGGAAGGTGACATAACGACTGACTAGCACAACCCTGGTTAATCATGATGCTCATTAGGTTACTTTTAATTCAAAGTATTACAATATTCTCTGGGTTTGCTGGGAAGCCTAATACCACGTGGCACAAACGTTTTAACAAATAATTTCTGCTGCTAAATATTTCTGCTGCGAGAAAGCTTTACAGGAGTTCTTAATAATCATGAGAAGTAAAATACTGTATTGAGTTGTTTCCCTTGAACTGTAAGAGTAGTTTATTGTTCTTGAAATCTCTGGTGGGATACACAAAAAAAGGTAATGGTATCTCTCATTGTACATGGGCACAGATCACGGTGGGGACACATAGATCGATCTCCACCACTTTTATCAAGAATTAACTCTTGAAATGCAGGTTTTTCCGGTGACCGAATTTCAAAATTTTCTGGGAAAGATCCCTAAACCCTGCACCGGAGGGCCTTCGTCGAACATCTGGTTCCCGCTAACTTCATCAGTAGATCTGCGCACCTGTCATTGTGTGCCGTAAGCAGAACAGGACAAACTCCCTTTTTGTTACACGCATATGACTCAGAGGTTCTGCGTTTGACAATCTTTTGGTAAATGATTTAAATACGATTTAGATATCAGTGAGTTATTAAGTATCTATTTGAGCTACTTTTTTGACACTAAATGGAATGGCTGTCCGAATTTTAAAACGTACATTACACAATCGCTACTTTTTTTTTTCTTGTAAATTTTAGTATATGTATTACGTGAGTATTACACAATCGCTACTTTGGTAGTATAAAAAGAAAGTTAGGCACACCACAATAACCAATAGCCTATATATATATAGAGGAATTTTCATTGCAAAGCAAGATATTTTTTCAAGATTATTATTGTTAGTCACTTGTTTTGACAGAATACAGAATTTATTTTTACATTGAAATTGCTAAACCATCATCCTTCAATAGTATATTCGCTAATTAAAAGAAAGTTATATTAGATTTAAGTAAGAGATAGACTCAGTAGACTGGTTTTAATGATATTTTGTCCCGGGTCAAATAACTCAGTAGCCACGAATAGCTGGTGTCTAGAGTAGTTGTAAATACTGAGTGATATCAAATCACTACTGGAAATAGTTAAAATACTTGTTGTTATACGAGAATAAAACACAAGGATGTGAAAGTTGAGTCGTCAGAGGAAAGTAGAGATTAAATATGGCCACCGTAAGTAGTTTTTACATCATTATTTCTTATTTCTTAGGTTACACATTCGTTGTCATTTGGTTTATCGATTCAATTGTAAGTGTATACCAGTGACGATAATCCTAGAGACCACAAGCAGTAAGTCTTGGAACAGTACAGTTGGTAATACAAATCATAAAAAAACCTACTGTCTCGGACCTTTATCGTTAATTCGGTTTACCGAGTTTGAATATCAACATGAATACAATACTGATAGTCTTAGAATGGTGATGAACTTTGATAACAAAATTAATTCAGTAACTTTAAATCGAAGAGAAAAAAACAGATATTTTCAACCAAAAAACACCCCGAATTTTGCTAAAAAATCTTCAATTTTGATGGACTTGGAACCTCGAAGGTGAATTAAGGGTGACGTAAAAGTTGCTGATCTGAGAATGATTGAAGTCGAAATCAGCTATCAGTTTATTTCCAAACAAACTGATGGTGGAATCTCATACTTCGCTGGTATGTCCGTTTTGACCGATTTGATTATTGATAACAATATAGTGTAACGCCCTGAAAGTGATCGGTGATACCTGTATATTGTTTATAAATATGCCAAGTCGTCAATGTTTTGAACTGATTTGATTACATGTACTCGAATATACATGTTGTTGTTGAACTAATGATAGTAGTATGTTGTAGGAGTGGTTTGATAGCAGGCAGATAACAAACTGTACTGTCAATGACTGGACACTTAAAGATAGGTTTCCTTATTTTTTAATGTAAAATTAAGCAAATTGGTTCTAACGAATTATCATGTATTCTTAATCATATCATTATATTCTTCTTGCATGTAATTAAGAGTTTTAACCAATCATAAATATCATGAATGTACAGTTTGGAGAAACTAAAAAAAAAGAAATATTTTTTACCTTTCTTGATCGGTCACTCATTGCAATTCTGCTGGTAATTTCATCTAATTTAGCTAATTATGAGTTAATTATGGACATGTGAGACAAACTGGTATTTTTCATTAGAGCACCTCTTCTTCCTATTCATCTAAGTATTAGCATTTTCATTTTCATAAATGAAAATAACCCATCTATAAACTCCTATAGTAGACATACACTTTAAATGACATTTTTGCTGTAATGTAGGCTGTAAATGTACACATACGAAAAAAGGCTAGACAATTGTTTTGTTCCTATGTGGCTCAGTTAGTTTGAAGCTTACTCACTAACCAGGGTCTAGGGTTCAATCCCAGTATAGGTCTAGATAATTCCTTAAGGTCTTTCAACCTGGTTCCCCTTATCAGTGATGCAGGTCAAATGGGTTGACAAGGAAAAAGCGTTCAGTGGTACGGATGTGGCATTAAACCAAGGTCAGCGCACACTGCATGGTGTTTTCCCTTCTTTATTAGCACAGTTACGGGTTGAAAAGGTGGACGTAAAACTCCATTTCTTTTCATCCTTTTAAAAAATCAGAAGTATATGTTCTCAGTGACCTAGATCATATGAAATTCGTTAATTATGATTGAGTGTTTGGTTTAATCAATTTAACCTACCAGTATAGTCAGTATCTAATAGATAGTTATGAAAAATAATCTACCTAATTCAATTACCATTATTAATTATTACTGGGTTGACTTTGAAAATAATAATTATTTTTCGTATTGCTCCTTATTGCGGGCACACGAGCGGTCTCGGTCGGAATTTTTTGTCGCCGATTAGAGTCTTGAGTAAAATCTCGCCCGTGCCCGTGCTTCCACGACAAGATTATCGCGTTCCCAGCAGGATTTATAATATCAAACAAGTTTGATAATTGTCTCCGATGGTTTCATTGTCTGCAAATCTTTCAATAAGATTCATTTTACTTTCAATTGCATGCTCCATAGGTGATTATGGCCATGATGGAAAACGACCGACTGGAGATTTTTATCCCCTCGTGTACCCGTGCCAGTCGGCGGAACTCCTGACCAAGCTCTAGTCGGCAACAAAACTCTCCGACTAAGACCGCTCGAGTGCCCACAGCTTTATAGTGTTGTCCTGGCAAATTTTTTTCCTCGTTGCGCATTGTTTGGAGTTATTTTTTTATGAAGGGATCTTTTGATCGTGCAGTTACAACAATTAGTTCAGTTATGACTCGGCTTCGGTGGGTACCATTTGTACTATTCCGTATTTTTCATATACTCTATACAATATATATATCTATCTATACAAAATATGTCCGAATGTGCTGATATACCGCTCACATCATCTTCAAATTGAGTGCATGGAAGCAAAATTTATGAATTGGTTAATAAGTCGTTGATGATTCCAAAACACAGACTCTAAAGTGTTATTGTTGTTACGTAACCCATTTTGAACTTGAAATGAAGTATGTAATTCTAATAGAAGGTCTAGTCTATATGTAGGTGGTATTATCATTGTCATGCATTAAAGGAATTCATGTGAAACAATATGATGAAATATGCGTCAAACATAAAAACAAATAAATCGATATTTTAAAGATGACTTTTTACATCATTGTATCACTTGGCAACTGAAAATACCAGCACATATTGGACGCTAACCTTCAGCTTCGGGTTCACTTCCGGAAGAGGTCGAAATGATACCTCAGGATTTTTCAACCTGGTTTCCTCCCGTCAACAATGCAAGACTACGAGGAGGGCATGGGGTTTGCGTTAAGTCGTCTGGGTGGACACTAAACCGAGATTCCTTTTCCTTTAGTTTAGGTCCCTCTAGGAATCGTAAGCTAACGCTTTTGTCCTGGCGTGTCCCACATTGTATGGCATTAGTCATCATTAGTCCAAACTGGGATTAAAAATATTTCCATCTTGCTCTATAGAGGGTAATAGAATCTTCAACATCTAGTCCTAGATCCGTTATTTTCGGCATTCATCCCTATTTATCATTAAATTGTTGCTGAAAAGCAGAACGAAAACACCATTTCATTTCATTTCATTTTCTTCTACGCCATTAGAGCATCGTATGTTATTTGTATTACGCTATGCTATTTGTGATGATATACTATGTTACAGTAGGTACAATGTAATTATTATAATCATTTTAGTCGATATAGTCACTTTAACTTCAGTTCAATCAAAACTTTCTGGTGATTACTTCTTTCAACGCGACAATTATTGATAGTGACATGCTGTCACCATCATTTGATTTTATGTTGTTCATTCGTAAAACAGTATACACTCTGTGCCACGTTTGGCTCTAGTTGTTTTTTTAATGTCAAAATAGTGTTACGTGAAATATGGATTACACACACATGGTCAGTAACGAAATAGAACGTGCTGAGAAATTTCGAAAAATCTTTCAAAATTCGAAAAATTTCAATTCGCATGTTGTGTCGAGTGCCAGTAAGAATAACCTGCTTCTTGTAGAAACTTCAGAAATTGAAACGTATCTTAGTGAGGACAATGAAAAGCATGTGCCATCGGTTTCATCTCATCTCGACTTTGATGGTGAAAACAATGTGGCACCAGTCAGTTTTATCGTAGCAAATGATTCAATTCAGTTTTTAGAGAGAGAAAAATTTGACACAGAATATGTACAGGTTTCAAAAGATAATGGATCCACACAAAATTCAACTGGATCTGAAGTATCTTCAACACACAAAGTTCATCCTAAAGGATACATTGAACATTCAATGGATAATGATAATCCAGCTGAACCTTTTTTACTGCCAACTGATGATGCTGGTTCTTTGTGGATTACCAAAGATAATAATCGTGATACGGATTCTGTACAATCTTCAACAGGTTATGATTCAAGGTCTGTTCCATCTACCAAAGATAATGAGTTTCTAACTGGGTCTGTGCATCTGACAGCATATGATAATTGTTTACCGAGTTCTGTTCAGCCTTCAACAGATAATGATTGTCTAACTGGGTCTGTTCCGCCTTCAGCGGAAGATGATTGTCAGACTGGACTGCCTGTTCAGCCTATTACAGATAATGATTGTCAAACTGGTATGCCTGTTCAGCCTTCAACAGAAAATGATTATAAAACTGGGTCTTCTCAGGTTGCAACAGATAATGATTGTCTAACTGGGTCTGTTCCGCCTTCAGCGGGAGATGATTGTCAAACCGAACTAACTGTTCAGCCTATTACAGATAATGATTGTAAAACTGGTATGCCTGTTCAGTCTTCAACAGAAAATGATTATCAAACTGGGTCTTTTCAGCTTGCAACAGATAATGATTGTCTAACTCTGCCTACACCAGATTTTCTAATTGGGTCTCTTCAACCAACAACAGATAATGATTGTCTAACTGGGTTTGTTCATCCTTCAACAGATAAAAACTGTTTATCTGGAACTCCTTTTCAGCCTACAGCAGATTATGGTCCGTCAAAAGCCATTACCCCCTTTGGATCTGCGCAATCTTTGGATAGGAAAGGAGATTTATATAAAGGACCACGGTCTATGACGCATGATAATAAGAATCCGTCTGAATCGCCACCAGATATCTCCGATGATGACATTATGTATAAATTGGTATGGATGAGTTCTGATTTGAGTAGTTTTCAAGATGCTGTCCCCGTTACTACACCAACACAAAAACTTTTACGCTCATTGCGTTTCACTAGCTCTCTGGAATCTGTACCAGAGGACAAATGCGAAGACGTAGTCGAATCTTGTGAGAAAAGACACGGAAGACTGAATAAATTATTGACTTTTGAATCAAAATTCTTTGACGAGAGCTATACTTCTATGGAGTTGGAAATTGTGTTAGACTCGGATTTCGGTGACTTATCACCGGAAACACCACCTGGTTCTTTGGAAGCCGAGAGAAGAACTTGTTTAACTAACCACGAAGGATTTGTTTCAGCAGTCTCAAATAGAAATTCCCTTGAACAAAACATTCACAAGGAAGATAATGACGGTCATGTTTGTGTGGAAAGTGACGATGAATTTGTGGTAATAGAGATGCCAGAGAATAAAATTCCTGATAGTGATAGTGGAATTTTCTCAGATATATCGGAGGTACACAGTGATCGAGCTAGTACAGAAGATCCAGAGTCCAGCATCAACAGCACATTACAACCGACGGATAATGGAAAGAATGAGATTAAGAAAACTACCAAGAGCACTAGAATGTATCGAGTAAGAAATCTTTATATATTCTATTAGATTCTAGTGTTTACTTCAGTGGTGGATATTTTACAAAAAAGGATAAGATCAATACTGATTCATTGATATAGGTAAATAGGCAATCGGAACTACATAGGCTAACGTCACTGTGCTGATAACATTTCCAAAACATTTGGTCAAAATTATCCTTTCTACTCCTTTGGTGACTGAACTGTTCAACAGGTTCTGAGTATTGTTCTAGGTTTTTATGTAATTGTAACAGATATCATCTCTATTATATTTCTCATAATTTCTTCCATAATTTTAAAAACTGCAAGGCGAGGACAAGTTTGCAATGTGTAACAGATTCTTTTATAGATACATCAAACGTTGGACATGTATTAGAATTATATAATAGATTTTTACTGAATTAACCAAACGTAATATGACTCAACACAAAAAGGATGATTTGCAAATAATGTAATTTTTTATGATTTCGTGGTTGATACAATCTTTTCCCATGGTTTCATCATAAACATCTCGTCTAAAAACAACGTCTAAAATGCTCTTCTACCAAAAATGACTCTGTAAAGAAGAATTAATGTTATTATTATGTTTATTTTATATCATTTGGTTTACTTCCTTTGGTGTTTTCTTAGACAATGCTCATCCAAGTGTATGTATATTAACGACAAACTGGATACATCATACCGATTTGCCGTCTGATTCGGCTTCTGTAATTCCAGAATTAAAAATTAAAGCCATGTTTGCCTGATATTCATCCTAAGGCTAGAGAGACCCTGTTTTAAATCCTTTTAAATAATTTATGATACTATATAGCATCTTAGTTCCACTGTTCTTGCTGTTAATATTATACATGTATTTGTATACAAATTGTTAAGCTCAGGTGGCAAAATTTCACTTGTCACTTGTTATTACTTTCATTGTGTTGATTTATCAGAAAACTAGGAATAACTAGATACTAGGAACATGTGATATGACATGTAACATTATTCTTGAAAAACTAACCAAGATTTTAAGAAAGACTGTAACATCTGATTGGATAATAATGCTTAATTTAAAGATGTTGTAAAGATGTTTTCTAAATTTTTGTATGTCGGAGACACTGATAGCAACAAGTTCATTCATCAAATATGAAGACAATCAGTTAAATCGGATGAACAGATTTAAATGTACACACAGAGAAAGAGTTGATACATCCAAACTTACAATACAATACTATACCGAAACATCTATCTCTATTCCAGCCTCTGATAGCTATTTGTATAGATGCCCGCGGGTGTAGAGACAGAAAAAATAGGCCCTGTTAAATGGGAACATTCCGCATCTCCGTATATAGGTGCGGCGGAGGTTTTAATTCTATCAAGATACCTCGGATCTGCAAAACCCGGATATATTTGGAAAGATGAATATTTTTGTAGTTCAGTCATATCATCATTTTTCTCTAAACCATTTATTTTTTTTTTAAAATGAAACTGATCTGGCATCGTCATTTAAAACAGCATACGCAGCCAAAAGTTCAAAGGCCACAGAGTCATGTGATACTAACAAAACGAAAGTTGCCGTGATGCCCAACACTAATTTACAATCATCGTAAAGGTAATTTAATATTTTCTTAAAAAACGCATCTTCAGTAGTGTGGAAAAATCCCCGTTTAACAGGTTTTTGTCTGACTGACACCAACTGACAACTGTCAAAATATCAGAGACTGGAATAGCGGCAGATATTTCGGACAAATGCATTACATACACATGAAATTGCCATGTTCTTTTAGATATAAAATGTTACTAAGGACCACGAGACATTACTTAACAAAAAAAATCGGAAGTGATGTGGTGACATTCCTAAATATAGGTTAAAATGAAAGATATTCATAATTATGGATATGAGTCTGATACAGGTTTCATTATGAACGTCTGAATGAAATTATCTACATATACATATATAATTTAATAACCATTTATCATTTTTATACGCCCACATGAAAATAAAGACGTATATTGCTGTCGCCGCTGTCCTGTGGTCCGCCAACATTTCTTGTGAACACAATAGACAATACAACTTTTATCTGAATTTAATAAAACTTGTAATTTTTTATATGATGAGACCTTGGTCATATTCGAATTTCACGATTTTTCGATAAACGGTTTCGTGTTATGATTTAGGAAAAACTCGTCAAAATTTGTTTATAAACACAAAAGAGATTGCAGTTTTTATCTGATTTTAATGACATTTGGTGTGATTATTTATATTGACGAGATCTTGGTCAAGTTCGAATTTGACGATTTTTCGATGAACGGTTGTTGAGTTATTGCCCTTGACTTAGAAAAAAATGTCAAAATTTGTTTGTAAACACATGGAGACGACAGTTTTTATCTGATTTTAATGAAATTTGGTGTGATGATTTACATTAAGATCTTGGACTACTCTACTAATTTGAGGATTTTTTCGATGAACGGTTTCTGGTTATTACCCTTGATTTAGGAAAAACTCGTCAAAGTTTGACGGTTTACCGATGAACTGTTTTTGAGTTATTGCCCTTGACTTAAAAAAAAGAGACTACATATTTCATGTTGTGGAAAACTCAGCATTAATAACTGAAAGCAAATATCCAAAAATTCGAACTTCATATAAATTATGAGAAAATGAGAAAAATCGTATTTTAGACTGTGTTATCATTTCTGACAGCTGTCAGTGGGCTTATGTTAACCTGGCAAGCATTTTGAATGTTCATTTACCTGAGTAATAATGATTAATATTTGGGTATATATACATAAAATTATATACAGATTGTTCGCTCAAATCTGTTGGTCTCTGCTATTCGAACAAAGTTCGATTTCGGTAGTATACATTGCCTTTGATGTTGAAATTCAGCGTTGATGTTAGTGGAACATTGTTGATGTTTGGAATTCAGTGTTGATGTTAAGGAACATTGTTGATGTTAAGGAACATTGTTGATATTTGAATTCATTGATGATGTTAGTGGAACATTGTTGATGTTCAGAATTCAGTGTTGATGTTAATGGGACATTGTTGATATTAAAATTCATTGATGATGTTAGTGGAACATTGTTGATGTTCAGAATTCAGTGTTGATGTTAATGGAACATTGTTGATATCAAAATTCTTTGATGATGTCAGTGGAACATTGTTGGTGTTCAGAATTCAGTGTTGATGTCAATGAAACATTGTTGGTGTTCAGAATTCAGTGTTGATGTCAATAAAACATTGTCGGTGTTCAGAATTCAGTGTTGATGTCAATGAAACATTGTTGATGTTCAGAATTCAGTGTTGATTTTGCTGGTATTTTGTTAATGTTGCTAGTTCAGCCACCTGTTGAAATGTTTAACTGTGTAGTGTTTTAAAGGATTTTAATGCACTTTTCTTGTCAAAATGGCAGGCACAACAAATAATGATAATGATAAAAATAGGATCAGCTTATTTCGGAAATTGTTTAGTTCCTCTAGGAAAATCAAAGAACATGTTGCATCTAGTGAAAACGTAGAGGGGTCAACATTATTTTTAGATCCTCCAACTACTCGCGAGGAGCTACCAGAGCGGAACAATTCTTCTGGAGAGTCAACAGACTGTCATTCTAACAAAGTAGATGCACATGTATCTTTGAATCGTGTTGATCCGTTAGAATATCCCACAAATATTTCAAAACTTTGTGAATTAATTCATTCTACGAGTGTCAATGAGGAAATCGTTGAGATAAATACAGATATGATTGAAATTACACAACAATGTGATCCAAGTTCTAAAGATTTTTCAAACCGCGAATCCACATATACATCCACTGGTCTATTTTACGTGGCAGAGGATCAGAACCTAGAACTACTGTCGGATTTACTAAATGAGTCTTCAGTTTCGTCAAGTGTTGAAGATGGTGCTTGTTTGACGTCCGGTTCATGCAAGGACGACTTTGAAGCTGAATCAAACGTCGTGATGAAATGTAAAAGAGAACAATCAGCAGAACCTACTTTGGATAGCATTAGATTGTCTTCAGTCCTTCACAGTCCTGAAATCGATGGCAGCGACACACTTTTCTTAAGTGAAATGAAATATACAGAACAGCAGGATGAGGAAACTGGGGCTAAAGATGACAATTTGACAAAAGTGGAAATAAATAAAATAATCAAAGAGGAAGAAACATCACCGATAGAAACGACGACACCAAAAAGAGTAAGATTGTTCCAATAGACTTTCAACCATAATATTCATATTATAATTCTTCACTAGATCAGACCAGACCAGATCATAATGTAGTGTCCATGAACTGCTAACATGATGTTAAATAGTTTACCTAGAAAGCCATTACTTGCAGAATTGTTTTTTTTTTGATTTGTCAGAATTAAATAATACATGATACATTTTTTCTAAATCTTAAAAATTTGTCTAAATTCATCAAGAATGAAGTCTCTTCTGGAGTATTTTAGAGCTAATAATAGAAAGCATGACAATTATTAAGATTTCACCGTGTCAAAATCCACCTTTTGAGTGTTAATGAGCAATAATTGTGGACGGAACACCGAAGATCGGCCACAGGTGGTGAAAATATACGTTCCAAAATCGGTTCATCGTTCTAACTTTAATACAATTACGATATTTCGTGTTTCTAAACGCAAAATTCGCTCCAAATATATAAGTTAAATGAATATACTATTGGCTATTATATGCAAGACTTGTCGTAATTCTGATATTATTGAAACTTACAGACTCACAGGGATAGATTCGCAATCCGTTTGACCAATCGTACTTTTTGTTTTTTTAGCCAGGCTTAACAGTAAAAGGCGTTCACAGCTCACCGTCGAAATTTCAGACTTCCAATCCATGTGTGTCCAGAATTATCCGCGTTTGAAATTTTAAGACTGCCATTTATAGAAAATGCATATATAGAAATCGAAAGGATAACTACTAGTTTGAGGTATTTTTGAAGGGATTATGCGAATTTCTTTCATTTCTAGTTTTTTTGAAGACTATTTACATAATACATGTATTAAAGACATTGGCGAACCTGTCCCTGTATCATGTTAAATTAAAATGAAAATAATATAGAAATGAAATGAATGGAGTTTTACGTCTTACTTTCTGCACCATGTGGGCTAATGAAGACGGGAAAACTATAGAGGTCTATATCGCTATGATTTTTATTTCAGCTAGTATAATCTCATTTCCATAACGTAAAATACATTTTGCTGTCATAAAAAACAATTTTCATATTTAAAGTCATTATGATATTGAATACAAAGATAAAGTGGGCTCTTGGGAAATTACCCAAAACTCTAGTTTGTTACTTTGCTTTTCATTTTAATCATGAAGAAATATGAAGTATTGATGGAACAAACAGTGCGATATTGTAAAATAAAGTATTGTCAAAATTTTATTTGGAAAATATGAACAAAATTGGTGCAAGGCAAACAATATGCATAATATTTTTGAATGTTTTTGCAACCGACATCTGTCAAAATAATCACCTACTTCCTTACTGATTCGACTTAATACGTTCTATTATAGTACAACTGCATACAGTTTGCATCATGGCTTGGGGCATTACGTGCTTCGGATCTCTTTATGTACTTCGAATTTGACTGTGTTTATTATTATTTACTTGGATTTGAAATCAGATCAATGTGTTTGTACCACAAACAAACTGGCTCGAGTGGTTTTTTCAGTAATAATATTTATTCGCCTCCTATCGATACAATATATACAAATTTTGCTCACTTTTTATACGCCCACATGAATATGGTCCGTCCGTCGGTCGGTCCGTCCGTCCGTCAACATCTCTTGTAGAGACTACAGTTTTCATCTGATGCTTTAGATTGATAAGATCTCGGACAAGCTCTAACTTGACGCATTTTCGATGAACGGTTTTTGAGTTATTGCCCTTGACTTTGTAAAAACGCGTCAAAATTTGTAAAAAATAGTTCGTGAGCAGGATTGAAGCTACAGTTTTTAACCGATTCTGATGAAATTTGGTGTGATCTTTGGAATTGATAAGATCTCGGACAAGTTCTAACTTGACGCATTTTAGATGAAATGATTTTGAGTTATTGCCCTTGACTTTGTAAAAAGCGCGTCAAAATTTGTTCGTGAGCACAATAGAAGCTACAGTTTTCAACCGATTCTGATGAAACTGGG